CTTCTTCATACATCACTCCTTGTCTTGTCTCATAACAGAAAGGATAAACCTCCATTACAGGAACAGAGGACTCTGTTTTACGCTTCTTAGATGGAGTGTTGTCTTGATCATTTTCCTCTGAAGTCTTATCGGGTGGAACAGGAGGATACTCTGGAACGTTGTGATGTGGAGTTGAGAAACCAGGAGGAGGGCCATCATCATCATCATTGTTTCCATCGGAGGGAGCATCATCAGCATTGTGTTCATGTTGAGGGCAGTCATTTGAATCATGTGACATGAGACCACAAATGTTACAGAAACCACGAAGTTTCTCATACCGAATTTTGAGAATCGCCGTTTGATCACCAAACCTGAACATTCTCTGAAAACGTAAAGGATTATTAACATTCCAAAGTATACGAATTCTTACATAGTCCACATTGTGGTTACTTTCCGCTTGAAAATCCGTCTCAATGTATTCGCCCAATTCATGACCAATGTGAACCACCATTCGCTGAGTGAGATACTGATGTGGGATTCCACGAACTTGGATCCAGAAAGTCATGTAATTAAGGTCGTCTTCCACTTGGTTAGGGAACCAACGTTGAATGGACACCATCCACTCGTTGAAAGACCATGGACCGCGTCTTAACACAGAGAGGAGAGATTCCTCAGAACGGAACAGAAATTGAACTCTGTTATGTTCTAGAACACGACCAGAAACTTCATCAGCAACACCCCAAAGTCTGGGTAGGGTAGACAGCATGGCGCGTATGTTCTGCTTCCTTAGATTAACAGGTTTCCCAATTAAAGCAAACCGTGTTTCTTCTTCTGCTTCCGCAACAAGATCAAGAGGAAGATCCACCACTTCATCCTCGATCCCTAAATTAATCTCTTGTAACTGTTTTCGAACTCTATCCGACATGATTAAGATGAACAAAGGAAAGATTCCTTTACTCTGATTTGAAAACAGAGACAAACCCCACTTATATAAAGGAAACGAAAGAGCAGTTATGGAATCTCTAACCGCCCAACCGTTACTCTTACGTGGACATAACCGTCGACTGTAATCGGCGACACAAACTCTCCGGAGAGAGACGGTGGAAGGCGCAAATGAAAGGTCGCACCTTTTTAGAAAATCGTCGTTTTTTTCGCTTTCGCTCTCGAGCATTATTCTTGTATCTTCTTCAATCTTCCAAAGTTCTTGTGTTTTTCTATGAATTGGCCGGAATAAAAAAATAAAAGTATTAATGGGTGGTGTAGCCCAATAGAAAAATTTGAAGCGAAAAGCCCACTTATCAACAGTCCAGCGACTTTGTATAAGACGACAGCGTTTTAATTATTTGCGCGGGTCAACCAACGAGTCAAACCTATGTTTGTAGTGGACGAACATTAGCCGAAACTGGGAAATGGTTAAACAGCAAACATGTTGAGAAATAAGATTAAGCTGCTGCAATGCGTGTCGTCTTTTATACTCGCCGTCGTCTCCGTCAATTCCTCGACCACTCCCCTCGTCGGAGTTCATCCATTAGGTTTGATTTTCTTCGATTCGCAAAAATTTAGAAATCTATAATCTCTCATTCGCTCTTCTACTTAAAAGCAGATGAAAAATACTTCGAGTCAGACATAATCAGATGCAAAGATGGTTCCAAATCATTCCCTAAAGACCGTCTCAACGACAACTTCTGCGATTGTCTCGACGGCACTGATGAGCCTGGTACGAAAAATTGCAACTTTATAACTCCCCAGATAAATGATTTGATCATATTCTTTAGATCCATAGATGACGTCATGTTTTTGTTAACTTAGGAACTTCGGCATGTCCGAACGGAAAATTCTACTGTCGGAACAAAGGAAGTTCTCCAAAGTTTGTTTACTCTTCTCGTGTGAATGATCGAATCTGTGGTCAGTAACAACTTCCTCTGAATCTTGATTCTTCTTTAATCAGCTCTCATAGTTCAATGGATATGAGATTAATCTGGAAACATTGATTGGCGCATTGTGTTTTGTCAGATTGTTGCGATGGAAGTGACGAGTATGAGAGTAGCATTACTTGTCCCAACACGTGTATAATGGGTGGTAACGTTAACTACATTTACAAACCTAGACCCGAACGTAAATCGAATGATAGGCAACTTGGTTCTGTAACTACCGATCCAAGTAGTTCGATTACTATAGCGAATCTTCAAGACATGGTCAAGAATCTCCAAGGTTTTCTTGCAACTGTTTTTTTTTTTTTTTGCATAAAGCTAATTTGTTACGTTTGATAATGACAGACGAAAACCCAAAATGTTTGTTATATTGTAGGTATGAAACTTGTCTTCGCACTTCAGTTTGTGTTGATTGGTTTCTTGGTGATCTTATGGATGCTTAGGCGTCGTGTTCGGTCTGCTAAGAGAAGAAGATATCTGCTGAAGAGTGTACATCCCAATAGATCAGCTAACTAACTCTAGGGAACTCTTTTGATACGTAGTCAGTTTCTTGAACAATCTCTACGCGGTTTCAATCATTGTTTTCATGTGTTGTTGCTTTAGGATTGCCTTCAGACAAGAAGAAGATATGTTTAAAATTAGATTTGGAGCGAACAAAAACATGTGATCGATCGCGTTTATTATTGTACAAACTTAAAACAATGTACGAGATATGGAAAGTTTTCTTATGATTTAAATTTATGTTTTCTCAAGTGTTCGAATCAGTTCATTCATTAAATTTACATTACGTAACAATATAGTATATGTTCTTGATCAGGTTCACCGTCACGAATACGAGGTGAATGTTACTGAATAACAGTTTTTATATAACACAGAGTAAGACTTCTGATCATATGACATTAGGATCATCATAGACACGAGACGTAGACTGTGAATACTGAGAAGCATTGTCACTACTTCATCGTTGTCTAGGATTATGATTTGTCACTATTTCATCGTTTTTCTCCTATAAAATAAATGGTTTCATTAGTATTTTTTGACACAGTGAAGATTAAAGCACGTACATAGAGTGTCCTACATGTGTGAGTGATCTGGAGACAAAGCATGAATAGAGAAAAAGAGTACACAAAATAAATCACATGGACTCACTCATCAACATTATATTCTCTTCTTCCTTTTCTTGATTTCACAGCTCTACAGTTTATTGTTCCTCTTGACATTCTTTCTCCCTTCATTATATCATTGATTTATGGATATGTATGTATATAGTGACATGAGAATCCATTCAAATGGTGAATAAAAAAATTAAGAGAGTTTGATTGATTATATGATCCCCATATAACGGGTGATGAGTAGTCATGTTGATTTATTCCACTGAATTCTATAAATAATATTGTATATTTGTATGCTTCTAACGGATCATGTAATCATATATTTCATTTTTTTTTTTGCTGAAAATAATCATCTATTTCACTTACGCAGGTTTATAATTTTTCATAACATAATTGATCACTAGTATCAATATGGTTTACAAATATATATATATAGATATATGTGTGTGTGGTGTGTGTGTCAGTGTGTGTGGTATGTCACAAACTATAATCTTGTATATAAGAATATTAAAATAGTTTAGAAGAGCATCGAAATTCTATAAAAGAATTGCAAACTTTACTCGTGATCCAAAGCAACACGGGCCATAGCACAATCCGGCCGGGTATCGAATATCGGTGGAGGAGGGAGAAATTGAGAAGGTCCATTAAGATAATGAGAATGACTATTTTAAGCAAACTAAAAAAAATAACAAAGAGACACAAGGACACATGCTTGCTTTGATTCCTCTCCAAAATCTCTTGCATAGATTTTTAATCAATGGAGGAGACTTTGCACTTTACAGTACATACAATTGAGAACTTAAGCCTCTTTTTCTCAAGACAGCTGTTCCAAAGCTGTCTGATCTCAATCTCCCCTCTCCCCCCCATGTGACCTTACTCAGAGATAATAAAAACACTTTGATCACATCCAATTCATTATGTTCTTTTTACATTTATACATCTCATTCACCCATCTATTTATATAACTGCTATTTGTTAAACATAGCAAATTTGGTTAACTCCCCTTCTTCCTCTCCTCCTTTAATTTCCTTTATCCATCTTCTTATGGTTTAGGACGTTATTGATCTGATTCCACTTTCCATTTGCCTCATATTCAGATTTTTTTTTTCTTTCCTTTGTTTACATTCTAGGGTTTTAACCTTATTTTTCTTGTGTAAATTCAGATTTGTTTTCTTTTGTAGAAATTAATTTCCGCTTGAGATTAAACTTCTTTTTTTTTTATTAGATAATAGAGAAATTCTCTTCAAATGGCACAACTCCCTCCTAAAATCCCTAACATGACACCACATTGGCCTGATTTTTCTTCCCAAAAGCTCTCCACAACCGCTTCAACCACCGTACAAAACCCTTCATGGGTAGACGAGTTCCTCGACTTTTCAGCCTGTCGCCGTGGAAACCACCGTCGTTCCATAAGCGATTCAAGCGCTTTCCTTGAAGCTCCATTCGTCAGCAGAGGCCACACCAGCATCGAAAACAACCACTTCGATAGGTTCGACGATGAGCAATTCATGTCCATGTTCAAGGACTACGACGACTTACATAACAACAACAATAATCCTTCTCATGACAACAACAACAACAACAACAATGTGGGGCCCACTGGCTCTTCATCGAATACATCGACGTTGTCTGATCATAACAGCTTTAACGGCGACAAAGAACCACCGTCGGAACATAATACGAAACATAACGACGAGGTCCACAGCCAATGCAAGACGGAGCCTGAGGACGGTGCGGCTTCTAATAACAACTCAGGCGATAGCTCCGTTAACAGGATTATCGATCCCAAAAGGGTTAAGAGGTAATTTTTTATTCACCGTCTTACTATTGTAAACCCAAAGATCATGCATGCACGTACAAATATTAACTGAAAATTACCGTCACATGCATCAATAACAATAAATTTTATAATAAATTTTCTGAATGGTTCTACAGAATATTAGCAAATCGGCAATCAGCACAGAGATCAAGGGTGAGG